TTTTGCAGCTGCTGGTGGGAAGGAGGGAGGGAAGCTGGCAGCACTGTGGGGGCACACAGGGGTAAACATATGGTGCATAGGTGAAGTGATGGGTGCAATGGGGGGCAAATACTTTAACCGATCCCCTGTATGGCTCTCTCTGCAGAAGCTGAAAGGCAGCAGGAGGGAGAGGATAAGAAGCCAGCTTTCAGCTGCTGCAGAGAGAGACATACGGGGGATCGGTTCCAGTAATTACCCCCTGCTATGCCAATCACCCTCCCTGCTCATATCCAATTCACCCAGCTGCCTGGGCTCCCCTGCTGGCCTGGACCCTGTACAGGAGGACTGGTGGTACCCCCTTATCCATGGCCCTGCGCACAAGGGCTAGTCACACAGTATGCCTTTGGCCATAGTTTTACCCTGCAAGAGGAAAGCAGTGACACACTTTAACTCTACTAGAACAGAGATGGGAGAGGTGTGTCTCTTCTCTTTGAGTCATTCTGCATCTGTGTATTCTGATCTCCCTGGTGTTCACGTCCATCTTACAAAAGAACACAGTATGTGAATGGGGGAAGAGTGTGGTCAGTCACAGGATTCCCTCCCCCTTTCACAGATCATGTTACAGGCAGTGTAATAAAAAATGAACATTTCTCAGTGGAGGAGAAAGCAGGAGAGGGTGTGTTCCTGATCATATTTAGTGCAGCTGAGAGTTAACTCACACAGTGCTAAACGTTCAGCAGTAGGAATAGGATGGGGCAGCCCTGCAGTGAAGATTTCCACAGAATCCAGCACTTGCACATTTGGGGGCATTCTTTATTACAGGTACAGTTGCAAGAAAAAGTATGTGAACCCTTTGGGATTACGTGGAGTTTTGCATGAATTGGGCATAAAATGTGCTCTGAACGTCATCTAAGTCACAACAATAAAAGAACACAGTCTGCTGAACATAATACTACGCAAACATTAGATGTTGCCATGGTTTAATTGCACATAACGTAAACATTCACAGTGCAGGGAGGAAAAAGTATGTGAGGCCCTAGCTTAATGACTTCTCCCAGAGCTAATTGGAGCCAGGAGTGAGCCAAGCTTGACTCCAATCAGTGTGATGATATTGGATGTGTTGCTGACAGCTGTCCTGCCCTTAAAAAACACACACCTGTTTTGGGTTTACTGGTTTCAAGAAGCACTGTCTGATGTGAACCATGCCTCGCAGAAAAGAGCTCTCAAAAGACCTACGTTCAAGAATTGCTGACTTGCATGAAGCTGGAAAGGGTTACAAAAGTATCTCCAAAAGCCTTGATGTTCATGTGTCCACGGTAAGACAGAATGTCTACAAATGGAGAAAGTTTAGCACTGTTGCTACTCTCCCTAGGCATGGTCATCCTGTAAAAATGACTGCAAGAGCACAGCGCAGAATGCTGCATGAGGTAAAGAAGGATCCCAGAGTGTCAGCTAAAGACCTACAGAAATCTCTGGCACATGCTAACATTTTTGTTGACACATCTACAATAAGGAAAACATTAAACAAGAATGGAGTACATGGGAGGACACCACGGAGGAAGCCATTGCTGTCCAAAAAGAATATTGCAGCACGTTTGAAGTTTGCAAAAGAGCACCTGGATGTTCCACAGCACTACTGGCAAAATATACTGTGGACAGATGAAACCAAGATTGAGTTGTTTGGGAAGAACACACAACACTATGTGTGGAGAAAAAAAGGCACAGCACACCAACATCAAAACCTCATCCCCACTGTAAAACATGGCGGAGGGAGGATCATGGTTTGGGGTTGCTTTGCTGCCTCAGGGCCTGGACGGATTGTTGTCATTGATGGGAAAATGAATTCCAGAGTTTAACAAGACTTTTTGCAGGAAAACGTACGACCATCTGTCCGCCAACTGAAGCTCCGCAGAGGATGGGTGATGCAACAGGACAATGACCCAAAGCATACAAGTAATTCAACAAAACAATGGTTGCAACAGCACAGAATACGCCTTCTGGAGTGGCCCAGTCAGAGTCCTGACCTCAACCCGATTGAAATGCTGTGGCATGACCTTAAGAGAGCGATTCACACCAGACATCCCAAGAATATTGCTACACTGAAACAGTTTTGTGAAGAGGAGTGGTCCACAATTACTCCAGATCGTTGTGCAGGTCTGATCTGCAACTGCAGGAAACGTTTGGTTGAGGTTATTGCTGCCAAAGGACGGTCAACCAGTTATTAAGTCCAAAGGTTCACATATTTTTTCCTCCCTGCACTGTGAATGTTTACATGTTATGTGCAATTAAACCATGGCAACATCTAATGTTTGTGTAGTATTATGTTCAGTATACTGTGTTCTTCTATTGTTGTGACTTACAGTTGTGTCCAAAATTATTCAACCCCCAATGCTATAAAGGGGTTTAGGGACTATAGTGTACATTTGGAATTGTATTCAGAATCAAATCCTACAAGGACGTTGTAACTACCCAAATGCAACTAAAATGACATCAATTGTTTATGTAATACAGTAGTAAATGGTTCTTATGTGGTTTCTTCATTGCCACAATTATTCAACCCCTTAAAGACTACCACTCTGAAGAACAGAGGTTCATACAGGTGCTTTCCATCAGGTATTGAAAACACCTGTGGATGTCACCGAGCAGCAATCAAGCATAATAAGCACCAATTAGGCAGCTTTAAAATGACTGTGATACTCAGCTCCTTCTAGACATTTACTGGTGTGGTTACAAACATGGTGAAGGCAAGAGAATGGTCCAGGAAGACAAGAGAGAGGTGATTTCTCTTCACAGGAAGGGCAATGGCTATATAAGAAGATTGCAAAGATGTTAAACATACCAAGAGACACCTTAGGAAGCATCATTCGCAAATTCAAGGCAAAGGGCACTGTTGAAACGCTACCTGGTCGTGGCAGAAAGAAGATGCTGACTTCGACTGCTGTGCGCTACCTGAAGCGTAGAGTGGAGAGAAGTCCCCGTGTGACTGCTGAGGAACTGAGAAAAGATTTGTCAGATGTGGGTACAGAAGTTTCAGCCCAGACAATAAGACGCACACTGCGTAATGAAGGCCTCCGTGCCAGAACTCCCAGGCGTACCCCCTTGCTGTCTCCAAAGAATAAGAAGAGTCGACTGCAGTATGCCAAAAGCCATGTGGACAAACCACAAAAGTTGTGGGATAGTGTTCTGTGGACTGATGAAACAAAATTAGAACTGTTTGGGCCCATGGATCAACGCTATGTTTGGAGGAGGAAGAACAAGGCCTATGATGAAAAGAACACCTTGCCTACTGTGAAGCATGGTGGAGGGTCAATCATGCTTTGGGGCTGTTTTGCTTCTGCAGGTACAGGGAAGCTTCAGCGTGTGCAAGGTACCATGAATTCTCTTCAGTACCAGGAGATATTGGATGGAAACGTGATGCAGTCCGTCACACACCTGAGGCTTGGGAGACGTTGGACCTTTCAACAGGACAATGATCCCAAGCATACCTCCAAGTCCACTAGAGCATGGTTGCAGAGGAAAGGCTGGAACATTTTGGAGTGGCCATCGCAGTCACCAGACTTAAATCCGATTGAGAACCTCTGGTGGGACTTAAAGAAAGCAGTTGCAGTGCGCAAGCCTAAGAATGTGACTGAACTGGAGGCCTTTGCCCATGAAGAATGGGCGAAGATACCCGTAGATCGCTGCAAGACACTTGTGTCAAGCTATGCTTCACGTTTAAAAGCTGTTATAACTGTAAAAGGATGCTGTACTAAGTACTAAGATTGAATGTCACTTGGGGGTTGAATAAAAACTGATAATGCTGTGAGCACAGAAAAGACATTTGTGGTTATTTCATTATAACTGTTATGTTATATTTGTCTGACCTACAAGTGCCTCTTTAATGTAAATGTAAGCAAGATGACTGAATGATCAAAAGCAATGTCAAACTGGCCAAAACACTCAATTTCAGTGGGGGTTGAATAATTTTGGACACAACTGTAGATGACGTTCAGAGCAGATTGTATGCCCAATTCATGCAAAACTCCACGTAATCCCAAGGGGTTCACATACTTTTTCTTGCAACTGTATGTGTTGTAGCTAAAGCTGTAGAGAAGAGCATGTTTAAACTAAATTTCAGCTTTTAAGAATTGATATCTGATTAACTACTTCACACCTAAGGATAAAACAAATGTTAATGCCTAACCACAATTTTGTAACTTTGACGTGTTAATAAAACTGTATATATCATCACAACTCATAATTTGTGCACCCAGGTGGATTATACCTTGATTTTTTCAGAACAAATTGGGCTTTCATTTGGTGGTAAATGGTATTGGACATCTCATGTTTTTTTGTTTTTTTTCAAAAGAAAATTGGCCCAAAACAGTAAAAATAAAATATTTTTTTTAAATGTAGCTGTATATTTCTTGCTACTACCATAACCTACCACTACAGAACAACCAAAAATAAATGATCCTGCTCTTAACGATTGTAGCAGTACCACACATGTGTATGCTAGTTTTTGATTGTACGCATAGTACAGCCCAGAAACACTAGTGCACATTTTGCTTTTTTATCCTACCTAAAACACACTGACACTAACTGCCACTGATACTAATTTAAAAATATAGAAAAAAAAAAAAAAAAACCCTAACCCTGACCTTTGACCCTTACACTAACCCTGGCACTGACCTACACTATATTGTGAAAAGTATTGGGACGCCTGCCTTTGCATGCACTTGAACTTTAAGTGCATTTGTGAGTTCAGGCACTGATGTCGGACGAAAAGGCATGGCTCGCAGTCTGCACTCTAATTTTTGCTAAACGTGTTCTATCGGGTTGAGGTCAGGACCCTGTGCAGGTCAATCAAGTTCTTCCACCTCAGACTCGCTAGTCCATGTCTTTATGGACCTTACTTTGTGTACTAGTGCACAGTCATGTTGGAATAGGAAGGGGCCATCGCCAAACTGTTCCCACAAAGTTGGGAGCATGAAAAGTATTGGGACACCCCTCCAAATCATTGGACTCCTAGGCACCTAGGCATGTACACTGCTTCTACAAACATTTGTGAAAGAATGGGTCACTCTCAGGAACTCAGTGAATTCAAGCGTGGTACCGTGATAGGTTGCCACATGTACAATAATTCCATCCATGAAATTTCCTAGCTACTAAATATTCCATGGTCAACTGTTAGTGGTATTATAATAAAGTGGAAGCAACTGGGAACAACAGCAACTCAGCCACGAAGTGGCGGCCACATAAAATGACAGAGCGGGGTCAGCGCATGCTGAAGCACACAGTGCATAGAAGTCGCCAACTGTCTGCAGAGTCAAGAGCTAAAGACCTCCAAACTTCATGTGTCCTTCAGATTAGCACAACAGTGCGTAGAGAGCTTCATGGAATGAGTTTCCATGGCCAAGCAGCTGCATCCAGGCCTTACATCATCAAGTGCAATGCAAAGCGTCAGATGCAGTGGTGTAAAGCACGCCACCAAGGGACTCTAGAGCAGTGGAGACATTTTCTTCTTTGGCAATCTGATGGATGTGTCTGGGTTTGGCATTTGCCAGGAGAACAGTACTTGCCTGACTGCATTGTGCCAAGTGTAAAGTTTGGTGGAGGGGGGATTATGGTGTGGTGTTGTTTTTCAAGGGTTGGGCTTGGCCTCTTAGTTCCAGTGAAGGGAACTCTTAAGGCGTCAGCATACCAAGATTTTTTGGACAATTTCATGCTCCCAACTTTACGGGAACAGTTTGTTGTGGATGGCCCCTTTCTATTCCAACATGACTGCGCATCAGTGCACAAAGCAAGGTCCATAAAAACATGGATGAGCGAGTTTGAGGTGAAGGAACTTCACTGACCTGCACGGAGTCCTGACTTCAACCCCATAGAAAACCTTTGGGATGAATTAGAGCGGAGACTGCGAGCCAGGCCTTCTCGTCTGACATCAGTGCCTGACCTTACAAATGTGTTTCTGGAAGAATGGTCAAACATTCCCCTAGACACACTCCTAAACCTTGTGGACAGCCTTCCCAGAAGATTTGAAACTGTTATAGCTGCAAAGGGTGGGCCAACGCAATATTGAACCCTACAGACTAAAACTGGGATGCCATTAAAGTTCATGCGCGTGTAAAGGCAGGCGTCCCAATACGTTTGGCAATATAGTGTATGTTGATATGTCATAAAATAGTGCCACGTATATATCTCTATAACCTCATATATGAATTAAAGCATCCAAACCATGTGATTATGCAACAACAGTGAATACATTGAATACAACTTAAAAGTCCATAATCTGTGCTTGATCTGTGCCTTTATAATTTGTTCACAAAACAGGTGCTCTTTATTGCTTATATCCACATATATTCCTCTAGGTGCTCCTCCACCAGAGACATACATATATGCTCTCACCTCCTTTTATGACCCAAATTGCATAGGTCAAATACTGCTTTTCCCTTTTAACCCGGGTAGGTATACTGCATAGTTGACTCCATTTTCCTGCTCACTCTGCTGCAAACGGTACCGTCTCCTCTTTATCCCACAAATCAAGTAAACAGAAATGCTTGCCATAGTTTAATATATAAATATAGCGTGATTTATTAAAAAAACAAAGTGCACTCACATTTAAAAGTGTCCTGCTGGGACACCACAGTAAAAAAACTTGTTATAGTGTACAATTGTGTTGAAAATAATAGCAGTCAGACATCACTAACCTGATCAATCACTGTTTTTGGTAGAAATGATATTTCTAAATGGCAAATAATTTACTATCAGGTGTAGTAGAGTAATAGAAATGCAACAGGCCCAACAGTCATGACATGCATGCTGCTGATTCTGTGTAATTGAATCACTAATTGAAAGGGCATGTTCAAAATAATAGCAGTGTGGAGTTCTATCAGTGAGGTCATTCATTCTTTGAAAAACAGGTGGCAATTATTGCCCTTATTTAAGGAAGGAAGGCAGCAAATGTTGTACATGCTGGTTACAGCACATTTCTCTCTGAAATTCTGAGGAAAATGGGTTGTTCCAGACATTGTTCAGAAGAACAGCGTACCTTGATTAAAAAGTTGATTGGAGAGGGGAAAACATATAAATAAGTGCAGAAAATGATAGGCTGCTCAGCTAAAATTATCGCAAATGCTTTAAAATAGCAACCAAAACCTGAAAGACGTGGAAGAAAGCGAAAAACTACCATTCGAATGGATAGAAGAATAGCCAAAATGGCAAGGACTCAGCCAACAATCAGCTCCAGGAAGATCAAAGAAGGTCTAAAGTTACCTGTGAGTACTGTTACAATTAGAAGACGCCTATGTGAAGCCAAGCTGTCTGCAAGAAGCCCCCGCAAAGTCCCACTGTTGAAAAAAAGACGTGCTGAAGAGGTTACAATTTGCCAAAGAGCATATTGACTGGCCTAAAGAGAAATGGTGCAACATTTTGTGGACTGATGAAAGTAAGATTGTTCTTTTTGGGTCTAGTGGCCGGAGACAGTTTGTCAGACGACCCCCAAACACTGAATTCAAGCCACAGTACACTGTGAAGACAGTGAAGCATGGTGGTGCAAGCATCATGATATGTTGATGTTTCTCATAGTACGGTGTTGGGCCCATTTATAGCATACCAGGGATCATGGATCAGTTTGAATACATCAGTATACTTGAAGAGGTCATGCTGCCTTATGCTGAAGAGGAAATGCCCTTGAAATGGGTGTTCCAACAAGACAACAACCCCAAACACACCAGTAAACGTGCAACATCTTGGTTCCAGACCAACAAGATTGACGTTATGGAGTGGCCAGCCCAATCCCCGGATCTTAATCCAATAGAAAACTTGTGGTGTGACATCAAAAATGCAGTTTCTGAGGCAAAACCAAGAAATAGAGAAGAACTGTGGAATGTAGTCCAATCATCCTGGGCTGGAATACCTGTTCACAGGTGCCAGAAGTTGGTTGACTCCATGCAACACAGATGTACAGCAGTTCAGAAACAGTGCTTATACAACTAAATATTAATTAAGTGATTCAAAGGAAAGCAAAATCTTCAAACATTTTTCAGTTTATATAGTGAATGTTTGAGTTTGTAAAGAAGAATACAAACACTGCTATTTTTTTGAACAGTCCAATATTCACTTTTCTTCAATTACAGTGCTGAGCATACCCTTTGGCGCTATATAAATACTGTATAATAATAATAATGATAATATAATAATTTTTTTAGAGGAACAACAGAAATTTTATATATTTTTCTTCATGTTTTGATTTGGAATAGAATGTGTAGTGTTCCCAATGCATTTGTGTGTACGGAAATAAAAGCTATTAGAACGATTTTGAGCTTTATTCACTTTTTTCAACACACTGCTATTATTTTGAACACAATTGTATTTTCAGTGTGTTCAGGAATTTCCAAGATGGCGGCTCATAAACTTCCTGTTGAGCAGCTTGACATCATTGGCCCACTCTACGCGTTACATCACATCACGTGACTTCTTTAGGAGTTCAATATAGTGTATGTTGATATTCATCAGATTTGCAAGTTGTATAATTTTTATATGCAATGCAGTAGCCAACAGATAGAAGTCATAACTTTTCATGGCTCCTCTATAGCAGTAAAGGGTCACAATAGAGGTAATTCTATATTGTGCACATCTGAAATTCAGCTGAACCTGGTGCTACTCCATGCATATGCTAGATCTGCAGCCCATGTAAGCCCCATCACATTCCAGAGAAGCCCCATTCTGCTTTCATGTTGGGTCCTTATGAGACCTTGGAGAACATCTTAGCATGCTGTACATGTTGGGTGAATATGGAAGCTGGTGTTCCTATCAATTAAACAGCTGCCAATGTATTTCTGTTCATTGCACTAAAAACGATTAAAAAGAAGCAGTAGTGGTGCAAACTTACTGTTGTTCTGCAGACCTAAAAACACAGCAGGCACAGTATATGTCATAATTTCTCGATGTTTTAAATCCTGATGACCCCTTTAAATAATTTTCAGTTTCTTGGGGGAATCCCTACTGAAAAGAATTATACCTTCAGCCCATGGTACATTAGCATGATCAATAATGTGAAGAAAGTTTTAAATAAAAGAATACCTTACGTGGCCTACCTAGCATATTGGATGTTAGGGCAGATGATTTTGTTACCAACCCCCTATAAAGGTATTTTCAGCAACCTTTGTCTTTGAAATGCCTATCTCCTGCAATTCAGTCCTGCCATCAGGGAAATTCTTTTGCCTTCCAAATACGTATGGCGTTATCTATATTAGCACTGGCTACACCATATCTTTCTATTGAATCCTGGACCTATAATGGTACGTTCTTGCAAATGTATTTGGCTTACCCAACACAGAATTTTTCAAGTACGTGCAAATTACATAATACATATACCTTAAGTACATTTCCTGACTTGACAAAATACATAACTACACCAGCTTGGAAATATTACACAACAGCAACCCATGTAAGGAAAGGTATTTCTATCTTCTATAGTATTATACATAAAAATTAGGCTCTCAGAAGCCCCTTCCCTTCTTAAAATGGGAATTAGACCTTTCTGCTTCCTACACGATTGAGCAATGGTATCGAGCTCTTCACACAATCCATAAAAATTCTGGCTGCATCATACATTGGGAATTGGTTCAAAAGATTAATCTACAGTGGTATTTAACCCATACAAACTTGCCAAATTCTATCCTACACAATCCTCTTTATGTTGGAGAGGATGTGGTTCCACAGGTACATTGATGCATATTTTGTGGTACTGTAAACACCTTTGTAGTTTCTGGAGGAGAATCTTTCAACTTTTAGCAGAGATTATTGGAATTCTAGCAACACTAACACCAGCTTTAGCAATATTAAATCAAGACATACGGTAATAACTCATATACTGTTAGCTGCCAGATTAATAATAACCAAACACTAGAAAAGACAGTTGGCACCCAATCCTTTAGAAAACTGGTGAAAAACAATTTTGTTTATGAAAACTGTTAGCAATTAGATGGGTTAAAGCAGAACGACGTTGCATCTAAACACCATAAACCAAAAAGGCTATTTAATTAACTTTTAGCATTCAAAGCAAACTTCCCCTTTGCTGAGAAATCAATTTGAAAAACACCCCCTAGCATTTCTGGCCGTGGCCATCTTGAGTAAGGGTGGATGATTCATATAGCATTTACTTCCTGGAAACCATCTGTCTTTAGCTCAGGCATGCAGACAGGAGGATGTGCTTAGATAAGAAAGCCCCCCCTCCTGTGGGCTGTTGGGATGTATGACATCTTTTGACTGGGCATGGAAACCAGGAAGTAACTGAATCAATGTAATAAAAAAGATTAAAACAAGTAAATATATATATTTTTATCTATTTACTAATGTTAGCAGTATAAGAATTAAAATAGTGTTGATTGAGAAAGTTCTGCTTTAAACTTTCTTCCTTTGAAAAATCTTGAGAATTTTGCATTATTTGGATAAATAGGTTTTAAGATTTATGCTTAAGCCATTGAAATTTTGTTATTTCTAGGTACCCTTGTATTATAATCTTTCCACAACTGAGCTCTTAGTATTCCCCCCAGCCCATGCCCCCTCCCCTGACTTCTCCATCAAGATCAATAACACAATCATCAGTTCCTCCCCTCATGCCAGGGTGCTAGGTGTAATCCGGGACTCCCATCTGTCCTTTCAGCCCCAAATCCAATCACTGTCCAAATCTTGTAGACTTCACTTCCGCAACATCTCCAAGATACGTCCGTTCATAACCTCAGAAACTACTAAGCAACTTATTCACTCCCTTGTTATCTCTCGCCTTGACTATTGTAACTCCCTCCTCATTGGCCTACCTCATTGCAGGCTATCCCCTCTTTGGCCTACCTCATTGCAGTCTATCATGAATGCTGCTGCCAGACTCATCCACCTTACTAACTGTTCCGTATCTGCTACCCGTCTCTGCCAATCCCTCCACTGGCTTCCCATTGCCCAACGGATAAAATTCAAAACATAAACAATAACATATAAAGCCATTTATAACTCTGTCCAAAACTACATCACCAATCTTGTCTCCAAATATCACCCAAACAGTACTCTCCGCTCCTCGCACGACCTCCTGTTCTCTAGTTCCCTTGTCTCCTCCCATGCTCACCTCCAGGGACTTCTCCATCCTCTGGAACTCTCTACCCCAATTTATTAAACTATCTCCTACTCTGCTCACTTTTAGGCAATCTCTGAAAACCTATCTCTTCAGGGAAGCCTATGCTGCTCTCAGCTAATAATGGAATCCTCTACTCCTACCAGTCTATCCGACACAGTTGCTACCTTTTGTACCACTAGCCCCTCCCTCTTAGATTGTAAGCTCCAAGCAGCAGGGCTTTCAGGAATGGACTTGCCAGTAATGGTGGGACTCACCTGCCTTGTGGGCTGCAGTACCAGGGCTGGCCAGCGGGTGCTCTCAGCAATCAGAGACTCAACCCTGCAGCCAGCCAAACACCTGAAGCTGATTATGCAGGTGTATTTAAGGGATGGCCAGACCTGCAGTCTGTGCCTTGGTGTGTGTTTTTCCTGGGCCCCTGTATCTTGTTACCTGCATTCCTGTTCCTGTTCCTGTCTGACTGATTCGTTGCTGACCCTGCCTGATCCGGACCTCTGCTGACTTCTCCTGTTTGATCCCTGCTTGTGACCCCGACCATTCTCTGCCTGACCCCCTGTACCTACCTGCCCGTTAGTTGCTGTACCCGGCTCGTGACCTGACTACTCTTTGCCTGCTCCTCCTGTCCCTACCTGCCCGATTGTTATTGACCCGGCCTGCCTGACGACACTTGCATTGTATGTATTGTTATCTGTGGGTGGTTTGGTTTGGTTCGTTTGCACTGTGTTATGTTTTAGTATTGCACTGCGTTTATGTATTGTTAGTGTTAATAAATTATATTGTTTATAACATATCTGAAGCCTGCGTTTCCCTGCGTCAGTTCACATACCTCTGGTCATACCCTGGAGCCCTGACATTACACCAAGGCCAATCCTGACCAGAAGTGGCTGCACAGGGAAGCCATCTTGGCTTGTTGCTGGGAAGGATGGATCTTGATGAGGTTGTGTATTTGTCGCTGTTGGTTTTTGATGACAGAGAATATGCTTATCAGGCTCTGAGGGAGTATACCCGGGATCAACTGCTAGAATGTATACGGATCGCTCATGTTCTAGTAGATCAGGGCACAGAGTTCTCTGAGGTGCAACCTTTGATTCAGGTTTGTGTAGAGTTGGCTTCATCTGGTACCCCTGAAAGCAGGAATGACTTTTTGCCACCATTTAGTGCAGACCAGGTAGAGTCCCTGGTATGGTTATTAGAGGATGATGTGGATTGCTTCTTGGAGCATTATGCTGCATGTTCAACACAGGTATTAAGGGATTGTATAAACGCGGTGCAGTCTTTGACCAGACAGGCTTTGTGTAAGCTGAGCTTTGTTCAACCAGTACTGCAGACATGGTCAGATTTGTTACACCCAGCCTCAGTCAGCTTGCAAAAACCCAGTCCTGCTTCTAATCTATTTCTTCAAAGCTCTATTCCTGCATTCCCAACAGCACCTCCAGTTACAGCCCAGTATACCCTGCTATCTACCGCATTTCAGTACCCTGTTCCCACTCGCTGCACCTATCCTGCCTTTAACCCTGTAAAGAAGCCCTCTGTAGCAACTGTTCCCTCCCCTGTTTCCACCCTCCAGCTCTTCTCTGTCTCCAGCTGCTCCATCCGTTTACAAACCTGCGCTTACTTACGGTGCTCCGGTAACTAAAACCAGGAAAAGGTGAAAGTTCTTTCCAACCAATACCATCCTGCCAGTATCCAAACCGGTCAGCCTCCCATCTGAGAACCTGCCTTCCGTGGTGCAGCCTGGTGCCTCGGCGCCCACAATTCAGCCTGATGCCTCTACCCAGCCTGATGCCTCCATTCAGCCTGATGCCTCCATTCAGCCTGATGCTTCCATTCAGCCTGATGTCTCTACCCAGCATGATGTTTCTACCCAGCCTGATGAACTGATCCAGCCTGATGATTCCATTAGGCCAGTTGACTCGATGCCCGCTGTCGATCCAGACGATCCGGTACCTGATGAATGACCCAGTGCCCGCTGTCATGCCTGGTGACCCGATGCCCGCTGTCGAGCCAGACGATCCAATGCCTGATGACCCAGTGCCTGCTGTCATGCCTGGTGACCCGATGCCCGCTGTTGGGCCAGACGATCCAATGTCTGACCCAGTGCCCAGTGTGGTCATGCCAGTTGCCAGTTGACTCGGAGCCCACTGTCGTGCCTGGTGACTCGGTGCCCACTGCCTTGCCAGATGACGCGGTGCCCGCTGGCGAGCCAAATGACCTGATGCCTGGTGACCCAGTGCCCGCTGTCATACCTGGTGACCCGATGCCCACTGTCGAGCCAGACAATCCCATGCCTGATGACCCAGTGCCCGCTGTCATGCCTGGTGACCCGATGCCCGCTGTCGGGCCAGACGATCCAATGTCTGACCCAGTGCCCGCGGTCATGCCAGTTGACTCGGAGCCCACTGTCATGCCTGGTGACTCGGTGCCAACTGCCTTGCCAGATGACGCGGTGCCCGCTGGCGAGCCAAAGGACCTGATGCCTGGTGACCCAGTGCCCGCTGTCATGCCTGGTGACCCGATGCCCGCTGTTGAGCCAGACGATCCAACGCCAGATGACCTGGTGCCCGCTGTCGATCCAGACGATCCGGTACCTGATGACCCGGTGCCCGCTGTCGTGCCAATTGACTCAGAGCCCACTGTCGTGTCTGGTGACTCAGTGCCCACTGCCTTGCCAGATGACGCGGTGCCCGCTGTCGAGCAAATGACCTGATGCCTGGTGACCCGATGCCCGCTGTCGAGCCAGACGATCCAATGTCTGACCCAGTGCCCGTGGTCATGCCAGTTGACTCGGAACCCACTATCGTGCCTGGTGACTCGGTGCCCACTGCCTTGCCAGATGACGCGGTGCCCGCTGGCGAGCCAACTGACCTGATGCCTGGTGACCCGATGCCCGTTGTCGTGCCTGATGGCCTGGGGGCCCGGCGCCCGTCGCCCCGCCTGGGGGCCCGGCGCCCGCCGCCCCGCCTGGGGGCCTGGCGCCCGCCGCCCCGCCTGGGGGTCCGGCGCCCGCCGCTTCGCCTGGGGGCCCGATGCCTGTCGCCCCGCCTGGGGGCCCGATGCCTGTCGCCCCTCCTGGGGGCCTGGCACCCCGCCGCCCCGTCTGGGGGCCCGATGCCTGTCGCTCCGCCTGGTGGCCCGATGCTGTCGCTCCACCTGGTGCCTGCTGCTCCGCCGGGGAGCCCGGCGCCCGCCGCTCCGCCTGGTGGCCCGGTGCCTGCTGCTCCGCCTGGTGGCCCGGTGCCTGCTGCTCCGCCTGGTGGCCCTGTGCCTGCTGCTCCGCCTGGTGATCCGGTGTCCAGCTCGATGTGCCTCTGCCCGGAGTCCAGCTCGATGTGCCTCTGCCCGGAGTCCAGCTCGATGTGCCTCTGCCGGAGTCCAGCTCGATGTGCCTCTGCCCGGAGTCCTGCTCGATTTGCCGCTGCCCGGAGTCCTGCCCGGTGTGCCGCTGCCCGGAGTCCTGCCCGGTGTGCCGCTGCCCGGAGTCCTGCCCTGATGTGCCGCTGCCCGGTATCCTGCCTCGATGTGCCGCTGCCCGGTAGTCCTGCCCGATGTGCCGCTGCCCGGAGTCCAGCCCGATGTGCCGCTGCCCGGAGTCCTGCCCGATGTGCCGCTGCCCGGAGTCCTGCCCGATGTGCCAGTCTTTGATATATCCCGCCAGTTACCAGACCCGGCCAGTGGAACATTTTGCCCAGCTAGGACTGTTTGGAGCGTCCTGAGGCCGCTCCTTGAGGGGGGGGGGGTACTGTCAGGAATGGACTTGCCAGTAATGGTGGGACTCACCTGCCTTGTGGGCTGCAGTACCAGGGCTGGCCAGCAGGTGCTCTCAGCAATCAGAGACTCAACCCTGCAGCCAGCCAAACACCTGAAGCTGATTATGCAGGTGTATTTAAGGGATGGCCAGACCTGCAGTCTGTGCCTTTGTGTGTGATTTCCTGGGCCCCTGTATCTTGTTACCTGCATTCCTGTTCCTGTTCCTGTCTGACTGATTCGTTGCTGACCCTGCCTGATCCGGACCTCTGCTGACTTCTCCTGTTTGATCCCTGGCTTGTGACCCCGACCATTCTCTGCCTGACCCCCTGTACCTACCTGCCGTTAGTTGCTGTACCCGGCTCGTGACCTGACTACTCTCTGCCTGCTCCTCCTGTCCCTACCTGCCCGATTGTTATTGACCCCCGGCCTGCCTGACGACGCTTGCATTGTATGTATTGTTATCTGTGGGTGGTTTGGTTTGGTTCGTTTGCACTGTGTTATGTTTTAGTATTGCACTGCGTTTATGTATTGTTAGTGTTAATAAATTATATTGTTTTATAACATATCTGAAGCCTGCGTTTCCCTGCGTCAGTTCACACTTCTGGTAACCCTCCTGACAAGGGCCCTCCTAACCCTCTTGTATTGAACTGTATTGTTGCTGTATTGTCTCCCTTTATATTGTAAAGTGCTGAGCAAACTGTTGGCGCTATATAAATCCTGTATAATAATAATAATTATAAATTACTTTTTGTAGTGAACTTTATTGTTTTGCAATACCTCACTTTATACCTATTTTTCTTGTTTTCGTATATTGGTTTGGATTTTCTGTGACGTGGTTTGTATGTTTCTTATACTAAACATTCAATACAAATGGAAAATATAGTATTTTCAGTAATATTCCTGAAATAAATAACAGCTGCTGAAACAACTGCAGACATTAAAATTTGGGGTGTCCTCTAACATTTGTGGTCAGTGTAGACAAGTCAGTGTAGACCACTTGTTTAGATGGAAAATTTCCCCCTTACATTGGTAGTTAAGTGTTGCTGGTAGATCAATCCAATATCACTCATTACTCAAGGAACCCCTAGTAACCTCAAGAGGAATCCTGGTTAAAAAAACACTGGTATACAGTCAGGTCCATAAATATTGGGACATCGACACAATTCTAACATTTTTGGCTCTATACACCACCACAATGGATTTAAAATGAAACAAACATTGCTTTAACTGCAGACTGCCAGCTTTAATTTGATGGTATTTACATCCAAATCAGGTGAACGGTGTAGGAATTACAACAGTTTACATATGTGCCTCCCACTTGTTAAGGGACCAAAAGTAATGGGACAATTGGCTTCTCAGCTGTTCCATGGCCAGGTGTGTGTTATTCCCTCATTATCCCAATTACAATGAGCAGATAAAAGGTCCAGAGTTAATTTCAAGTGTGTTATTTGCATTGGAATCTGTTGCTGTCAACTCTCAAGATGAGATCCAAAGAGCTGTCACTATCAGTGAAGCAAGCCATCATTAGGCTGAAAAAACAAAACAAACCCATCAGTGAGATAGCAAAAACATTAGGCGTGGCCAAAACAACTGTTTGGAACATTCTTAAAAAGGAGCGCACCGGTGAGCTCAGCAGTACCAAAAGACCCGGAAGACCACGGAAAACAACTGTGGTGGATCACCGAAAAATTATTTCCCTGGTGAAGAAAACACCCTTCACAACAGTTGGCCAGATCAAGAACACTCTCCAGGAGGTAGGTGTATGTGTGTCAAAGTCAACAATCAAGAGAAGACTTCACCAGAGTGAATACAGAGGGTTCACCACAAGATGTAAACCATTGGTGAGCCTCAAAAACAGGAAGGCCAGATTAGAGTTTGCCAAACAACATCTAAAAAAGCCTTCACAGTTCTGGAACAATATCCTATGAACAGATGAGACCAAGATCAACTTGTACCAGAGTGATGGGAAGAGAAGAGTATGGAGAAGGAAAGGAACTGCTCATGATCCTAAGCATACCACCTCATCAGTGAAGCATGGTGGTGGTAGTGTCATGGCGTGGGCATGTATGGCTGCCAATGGAACTGGTTCTCTTGTATTTATTGATGATGGGACTGCTGACAAAAGCAGCAGGATGAATTCTGAAGTGTTTCGGGCAATATTATCTGCTCATATTCAGCCAAATGCTTCAGAACTCATTGGACGCCACTTCACAGTGCAGATGGACAATGACCCAAAGCATAATGCAAAAGCAACCAAAGAGTTTTTTAGGGAAAGAAGTGGAGTGTGTTATGCAATGGCCAAGTCAATCACCTGACCTGAATCCGATTGAGCATGCATTTCACTTGCTGAAGACAAAACTGAAGGGAAAATGCCCCAAAGAACAAGCAGGAACTGAAGACAGTTGCAGTAGAGGCCTGGCAGAGCATCACCAGGGATGAAACCCAGCATCTGGTGATGTCTATGCGTTCCAGACTTCAGGCTGTAATTGACTGCAAAGGATTTGCAACCAAGTATTAAAAAGTGAAAGTTTGATTTATGATTATTATTCTTTCCCATTACTTTTGGTCCCTTTACAAGTGGGAGGCACATATGCAAACTGTTGTAATTCCTACACCGTTCACCTGATTTGGATATAAATACCCTCAAATTAAAGCTGACAGTCTGCAGTTAAAGCACATCTTGCTCGTTTCATTTTAAATTCATTGTGGTGGTGTATAGAGCCAAAAATGTTAGAATTGTGTCAATGTCCCAATATATATGGACCTGACTGTATGTAAAAAGCAAGTATGTCCCCAGCTACATTATAATTACTGCACATAGGAACAAGAACGATAAATCACCAAGACAGGTGGATGCAGTTATTTTACAATGTTTATGTCCATATATATATAAAAATATAGATTCCTTTTGATCTTTTGTTTTTTTACTTGTGACCGCACATGACATGACAGTGATGAATTCTAGTAACCCCACAAACTGACTAGTCCATGAATCTCCAGTGTAGCCTAGACAATGTTTTCTTCTGTTTTCTGAATAGACTTATGGCAGCACTGCAGAAGCACAATAATGTGATCCTAAGATGACGCTGCATGTAACAAAGGGGCAGATTCTATGAAAAATAGACATGCCAAATAGCCGACCATGGTAAAGCACAGTATTGAGAAAAATATATTCCTTCTAAACTGTATGGAAAGGCAAAACAACCCAGGAAATATATATATATATATATATATATATCTATATATATATATATATATATATATATCTCAAATGATGGGTTGAGCAGGGTTTGACATTATATCAGAATAAATACAGTATATATATATATATCTATCTATCTATCTATCTATCTATCTATCTATCTATCTATCTATCTCTCCTAAATTGTAAGCTCCAAGGATCAAGCCCTCCTATCCCTCTTGTATTGAACTGTATTGTTGCTGTATTGTCTCCCTTTATATTGTAAAGAGCTGAGCAAACTGTTGGCGCTATATAAATCCTGTATAATAATAATAATATATAATGATTGGTATAAGTCATCATGTCTGTTGTTGGCAATGGAGCCTGAATACATTTATAGTATTGTAAAATTACATGTGTCCATTTCTTTATAAAATGAATTAGTAGAAAGTTTCAGAACTCAGCAGACAGAATAGAAATAAACCTTAATATTCAGGGAAGAAGATTTGAGACTAAAATTAGATGCATAAAGCAATGAATGATGTGATTTGAAGCAGCCAGGTACACCAGTAATAAAGGCAAATTGTCTCCAATTTTCAGAGTGCTCCTACGTCAGAGATTTTCACATGCTGCTCCTCAGAGAAAGGGGCCGTTGCGTGGACAATTTTTTTCTTTCCAGCTCCTTGAAGTGGACACTGTCGTATGCTGTGTGCGGAGAACCCACCTAGAGGGCCCCCTCGATGCTAGCTGATCCTCCGTCAGGCAGCTCTCACTGCAGGCTGAAGCCCATTCTACTGCAGAGCAAGGGTACAGTGTTTGAGTCTGCCAGGGTCCTGCGCTGCAGTCAGAAGAGGATACAGAACAAGTAAAACAAGGTGACGCTGGACCATTTCTGAAGACATCAGCCTTACTGACAAAGAGCCCTTCCAGATGTCACAATCTCCAGTGTCAGGACTTCTGCCCGGAAACAGTAATAATGGAATTTTAACCCTGGTATGTGAATTACACCTATGATCTTTTCACCCTTGCAATTTTATCAAAAGGCGCTAACATGGCTCTGAGATATGCAAATGAGGGCGAGCATCTAACAAGATCAATAGTTTAG